CTGAAGAGGAATTGCTGTTTGGTGTTTAACTGTTAAAATCCGTTGGGGTAATTTGCCTTTTACCCAATTCCAACGCTCCTCCTAGCGCGGGTGGTGGAAGGAATGCTTTTTGAATCCAGGCTAGGCCTGAGTCCCAGGAAAAACCACAGGCTGGTGAGCAATTACAGTCTTAAGATGGTCTGGAGACGGAGTGGGGCTCGATGCTGTAGGGTCATTCTGCCTGAGCAGCCCCGTGTTCCTGGAACAAAGCATTGCAGGGAACTGCTCGGGGTCCACATCCCATCAGGAAGAACAGTTAAGATCTTGCAGCAGATGATGAGCTTGTTCTTACTTTCATTTACTTGTTTCTCACTGTGTCCTGGTTTTTGGCTGGGATAGAGTTAATTTTCACAAGAAGCTGGGAGGGGACACAGCCAGGACAGCTGACCCAAACTAGCTAAAGGGGTATTGATACCATGATGTCATGGCCAGTATAGAAAGGGAACTGGCCAGAGAGGAGGAGTTGATACTTGGGGACAGGCTGAGCATAGGGTAAGCAAACTGCATGGTGTGTCACTTGCTTTGTATATTCTTTTATTAGTACTGTTGTTGTTACTTTCCTCTTCCTTTGCTGTCCCAGTAAACTGTCCTTGTCCCTACCCAAACGTTTTACCTTTTTCTTCTAATTTGTCTCCCCATCCCACCAGGGCAGGAGTGAGCCAGCAGCCACGTGCTTAGCTGCTGGCTGGGGCTAAACCACGACATGCTGGAAGGCTGGTGCCTGAATTGTTTTGGACAAAATAGCATGATTTTTTAATGCAATGTTCACAGCAGTAGCTGTCACTCTGACAACTGCCTGGCTGAGGTCCAAGGAAGGTCCAATGTACTAGAACATAAAGTTTGTGATTTCTTTTCAGGCCCATTATTGCTATTCAGGAAAGATAATTTACCAACTTTGCTACTCTTTCATGACTCACTGCTTTACAAAGGGATATTCATTGTGGAGCAGTAACAGAGTCACCAAGTATTTTGCAACCCTGTGTAAGGCCCAAAGTCAGTCCTTAAGCAGTACAGTTCCAGGAAATCTTTTTCCTACCTGCGCAAAAAGCCTCAACCCTTGGCCAGTCCCCACAAGGAACTGTCATGGACAGGTTATGTTGGTACCTGGACTTTTTTCCACTGACTGTCTGCTCTTTTCCGCTTGGTCTGCTCTTCAGCTTTCCCAGCTGTTTGGAGTGGAACACTGAGCTGACACTGGCAAGCAGGGCTCTGACTGGGCTGGTACTTAGCAGCTCTGCCTCTCCTGTGGGGAGAGGTCAGGGGAGTTTGCTCTTTCTGCTTATGCTAGCCTGACCTTGTAATGTGTTTCCCAGCCTTGATCCCACATGCTGGAGGTTAAAGTGCTTGTCCAGGCTGTGAGGGGCCCAAATGCAGTTCTCTCTGATGGAGTAGAGTTGAGAAGATCGTCTAATTCCTGAGCATCAGGGAATGAAGTATTTTTGAAGTATGGAGGGTTGAGAGCTCTTTCACTTGGTATAGTGTAACTCACTCACTCATGGGAACTAGAAATGAAGCATAGGTCATGGTCTTCTGTGTGTAAGGTAGCTGTGATAAGGCACTTCTCTAAATGCATGCCTTACGCACTGCATTGCTGTTCAGGTGTTAGGAAGCTAGCTAGGCATCCAGCAGCTCTAGACTTGATGACAACTCTAAACCATAATCAAGTCATTAAGGCATAATCAAGTCTTTGTTATCAAGCACATATTTATATATCAGGAGAACTTCGTTAGAAGAGACTGAGGCATTTGGGGATATAGGCATTGCCAGGGCTAGGTGAAAGCTGAGCAGTGGTTTTGAAGACCTGTATTTTGGACTGGGACACCTCTGAGTCCAGGCCCTAGTAGAGCAATGGCTGTTCCTTATACGGCCTATTGAAGATACCACCCAACACAAAGGACTTCAGTGGAGAAGGCCAGGGATGCAGTCTCCCCTCTCACTGGTGTACTGTTTGTACCTCTTCATTGATGCCTTTGGGATTATGGCCAAAGTTTCCACTTTGTGGCTCAATTATGTACTGTGAAGTCTATGCAAGAATAAATAAGCCTGCCTGTAAACAGATAAAACCTTGGCCTAATGATGAAGCACTCAGTCTGTGACTCTGTCCCCTTATTAAATCTGCTTCGTTCTTCTGGGACCCATTAGTGATAAGAGTACAGCGTTAGCTTTGTTTCCAGCACCAGGCAAGCTCACATCAGTTGCCGGGTTCATACTATGGCATGTGACTGCCCTTGGAATTAGTGAAATTTGAAAGAATGACTTGTTTCATCCCAGTGCCATCATGTGGTGGGCTGACTTCAGCCCCCTACTGCTGGGGGCACTGACCAGGCCTTATCTGCCCAACAGAGGTTACGGTCTCATTTATTTGGTTTTGATTTTAAAGTTAAGTTTTCAGAACAAATAGGATGTAAATCTCTGTTACAGTTCAACTGTTGTTCATAAATTGGTTTTGAAGTCATCCACATTCTCTGTAACGGATATAGTGTGATTCGGCTAATGGTCAAAACAGAACTAGCTAGATATGGAAGACAACAGGCTTGGTGAAATATATGCTGGAATATATATTGCTGTTATAATCTCATATTCGTAAAGGCACAGCAGCATGGGGCTCTGAAACTTCATAATGAGAGATGTGTCTCAGGATTGGTGTTCTTGTGAAGCAATTAATTTGACAGTACACTTTCAAGTTTGGTATGACCTGGATGCTGTCATAAAACCCAACAACTTCTGAATAGATTGTATCACTGCAAGGTTAAGAATGTATTTATTCAGGAATACCCTACAACTCAGTTTTGGTTGTAAAACTCTAATGAGCTCTTAAAGCTGTGTTAATATTTTTAAAGATATGTATATGATTTAGTAGATGCTTATTACATTCTGTCATGATTCTTTTTTGAATTGATGCATATTCTCCTGGTAGTGTGTGCTTTTTCTTTTTTTTTCCCCACTAATCCACAGGAAACTTGGTTGAATCAGGCCCAAGTATCTAGGTCTTGATTGCCGTTCTACTTTCACATTCATCCAGCTGTGTGTAGTAGTTTGGAGTGGAACATTATAAATGCTAATTTAAAACATGCTCATCTTCTTGAATTTATCAGGAAGCAAGAATTCTCAAATCATGGCGGGGAAACCCAAGCTGCACTACACCAAGGGGAGGGGGAAGATGGAGTCAATCCGATGGCTGTTAGCAGCAGCTGGGGTTGAGGTCTGTATCTTTTTTCATAAGGTGATCAGATTAATCTGTGATCAAAATAAGTATTCTTTGGAAAGTTTTCCCAATTAGATTTACACTTAGAGATATGCACAACATCACATGTTGTGATGCGGAATACTTAGATTGAGTGATATACTCTCTCATGTTGTATTTATTTAATGTATTCCGTGAGCAACACTTGCCCAGTAAAAGGATTTTAACATACAAAGAGAATTGTTAAGTGTCATTTTTGAAATGTACTTTAAGCTGAGGAGATCTTAAATTGTTGCTACAGACCAAAACTGTGTATCTCTGACTTTTTCTGAATGCTCATTACTTCCCTGTGTCTCATGGTTGTTCTCAACTGACAGACCACGCTACCACATGAAAAACTTTAGAACATTATCTCCAAACAAAATACTTTTTGTTCTTTGGGTAGGATAAATCAGCACAGCTGCCCGGAAGGCAGTGGGGGGAGCTATCTAGATTAACATCAGGGGAAAACCATCCGAAGGCATCTTAATTTCTACATGCAGTTTTTGCTTCAGTATGGTGTTTTGAAACTATTTTCTCAGAAACTATTTATACTGCATTGGAAATAAAAGGCTTTTTTAATGGCGCTCACTTGTGAAAGTTGTGGACAGAGAAGCTGCAGAGCACAAGTGCTGAGGAAACAAAGATCTTGCCCTCATTCAAATGTCTTTCTTGCTTAAAAAAAAAAGCCAGCAGGGGGAAAGAGATAAATGCTGTGTAACAGAGGCATAACTTATTAAAAATTTCTCAGTATTTCATGTGGCATCAGCTGCTTTTAAGTGAATGATTTGATGTCTGTTAATTGTTTGTGCAGGCAAGTAGACTGGCCTTTATAATGAAGGAAGCTCCTTTTGCAGTGTAAAGCATTCTACATTACTGTGGGGTCGGGGACACGATAGTCCTTGGTTATTTGCTGGAGCAGAGATGAAGAATAGGAGTAGGGGTCAATGCAATCACAAGACGTAAGGGGAGTAGTGTGGAACTCCCTTCCACTTCCCCATCGCCTTTGGAGTGACACAGTTGTTTTCTGTCTTTGCTTTTCAGTTTGAGGAAGAATTCATAGAAACGAAGGAAGACCTAGAGAAATTACGCAATGGTGAGTCTGTAAACTGTACCCTAAGCATAAATTCACACCAATATAACAAAAGGACAACAGATGAGATTTTTGTAAGACGTCCAATATGATGTGACCTGTAAAGAGAAGATTTAAGAGACCTGCTTGCTTGCAGATGCTTTCACCCCTTGGAATTGGAAATGTCTTCTGTTACCAGGTCTCTTTCTCAGATTCAGTGTAGCAGTCTGAGTAGTTTGCTGCTTTTTCTTCCCAAGATGGATCCCTGCTGTTTCAGCAAGTGCCCATGGTGGAGATGGATGGGATGAAGATGGTGCAGACCAGAGCCATCCTCAGCTACATAGCGGCAAAGTACAACCTCTATGGAAAAGACCTGAAGGAGAGAGCATGGTACAGTAACAGTGCATGCTATCCTTACTAATACTCTTCCATGATTTTTAATATTTATGGGAAGAATATTGCTGTGAAATATCTGCATGTAAAGGTGCATATACATCTGCCAGTGCATTGTCTCCTCAGATCCAGGGATTGGGTGAATGGACTTTGCGATTGATAAAGGATTGTTAATTGTCAACATAGTGAGAATGGCCACCTTCGGGCTCATTTGATTTCACAGACACCAGAAGTGCATTCAGTTCCTGGGCAGCTGCAGGACCATAATACAATAAGAAAGGATAACTATGCTTTTTTTTTATCTTTAAATGAGAAAACAGTAGGAAAAACTACAGCTGTCTGCAAAAAATGAAGTGTGTTTAAGTGTTCTAATTTCCTTTTTTCAAAATGTAAAGAATCTTTCACAGTTGATTTAAAAAAAACCACATTCAGAGGCTTAATGCTGCTGAAAGTTAAACCAATATTTTCCTAATACTACTTTACTGTGTAGGCTGTGGATACTTTGCATTGTCATAACTAAAAGGATAATGGAAAGGCAAAAAACTTTATTTACTCTTTCTTTAAAAAAAACAAAAGTTCATGCAAAAGTTCAATTAAGTCCTTAAGCTAACTGACTACCAAAGGGTTTATTCTGTGATAATGGAGGGGCAACTCCAGAGATTGTGGGGTTTATTATGGCCTAGCATGTCTGAACTGGCAATTGGTAGCTGAATCCTTTCATGATTACACCTCAACACTATTTTTTTTTCTCTAGCGTGGTTTGCATATGTGGTCTTTTCTTCCACAGCACAGATGAATAGGTTGTCAATGGAGAACAGTGTGAACTCCACTTTAAATACGTTAGTTGCAAACTCTTCCTTACAGCTTGCTTGTTGCAGACACTGTGAGCCTATATATAAAGATCTGTGCTTTGAAAAAAACTGACCTGGAATCAAAGTGGAAGAACAAGAAAACAAACTAGTGTCTTGTGTTACATTCACTAGTAAGCATTTTACTCAGTGATCACTTCAGCATTGTATTTCAGGAAAATAACCAAAATAGAATGTTCAAATGATAAATGTGAAATAAAAATATTTGTTTCAGGATTGATATGTATGTGGAGGGAACAACAGATCTGATGGGAATGATCATGTATCTCCCTTTTCAGCCAGCTGACACGAAAGAAAAGAATCTTGCCTTAATCATTGAACGAGCTACAACCAGGTACTTTCCTGTTTATGAAAAGGTAAGTGATAAATCACCAGTAGTCCACGAAGACAGTAAAGTCTTCCCTGTCCCTACACACCTGCTTGCTAGAAGGCATGTGACAGTTCAACTCTTGAACTGTACGATGGAGCCAGTATTCAGCAGTGTGAAAAGAAGGCCACGAAATAATATTCAGCTAGTTTCAGTACTGAGTATCTTTGCTGGCTTTTTTAAGACTCCTCAAAGAGCAAATCCAACTTTTTAAACCCAGCTTAGTGGCTGATAACTCCTAGCGTTTTGTATAAATGCACCATTTAAATACCTGTGCCAGCCTTCAGAACTTACTGCCTGGAAATGTAATATACTCTTGCTGTTCAACGTTAAATATAATTCTGCTTTATAATTAAGGACCTAATTCCGTGATCTTTCCCAAACTTAAATATTTTATACTTACATACTATTACTGTCTTTTTCTGAATCGCTATTCGGGCATCCTTAAATGTGCACAGAGAGGCTCTGCAAACAGGATGTATCCAGCTTAAAAGCATAAAGCAATTATTTACTGGCTAGCATGCACTGCAGTTACCTCTAATGAGCTATGAGGTAAAGCATTGGTATGCTTGCTGCCCCCGTAGAGCACATGAAGAGTCTTCCTGGCTAGGCAAGAGTTGGTCAGGAGGGGGTTGGTTGTTCTTTGTTTCTCCCTGGAACATAGCCTGGATGTTACCAAGTTGCCATTTTCTACCAACTTGCTGTTTGTTATGTTGTTTTCTTCTGTTTTTCCCTTTAGGATATTTTAATTTTTTTTGGTGTTAACATTTTCCTGTTTGAATTGAGCCAGCTGTGATCCTCATCTCGCTATCCTACTTCTGTTTGTAACTACTTTTTGTACCTTGTATGGTTGTACTTACACAGACTTTCTCACAGCGCTTTTTCAGAGCTTTTTCAGAGTCTCCTCCGAAGTCTGTGCCAAGGGTACAACGATGTGCTGTTTCAGAGCTGAGCTGTGTTTCTAGCTTGAATCCTTGTTCACTGGCAGCTGAAGTCCATTCAGAAAATACAGGACTTGATGCTATTTCTTGTGCCTCTTTATCAGAGCCTTAAATTGCACAAGCAAAACCCACAGAGGCTATCCTGTGAAAAAAAATTGCACATAAATGACATAAGCCAGCACTCCTGAAATCAGAGTTCATATAGATTCACTGCCAGACCAATGGAAGGCTGTGCTGAGAGACTGATTGCACACATTAATCTTTCAAAGATTTGAAGTCAACATTAAGTATTTAAATTATTAAAAATGAAAAAGCAAATTTAGACAGCAGTATTCTCCAAACCTGTGCCTAGGTGGGATACACTACCGTTATGATACATTTTAGTGTGTATACTCACTAGAGGAAAGTCTTTCAAATAATCCATGTTTACTTATGGTAAAGACACAGCTAAATGTTTCCATGATCTTAGCCTAGTTAATTTTGTTAGAATGATTAATAATTTTCCTTCTGTACCAGCTGTATAAGTTGTCCATTGACTTAGCTTAGCAGGGTTTGCAGTCCATGTGTCACACAGTCCTGGCAGAAAATATCCTTAGCTACGAGTGTTCACTTTAAATACCCAGTAGCCAGATACAGCAGCAAAAGGTTATATAAAGCACTGCTTCACAGAATCACAGAATGGCAGGGGTTGGAGGGTACCTCTGGAGACCATCTAGTCCACCCCCCCTGCTAAAGCAGGATCACCTAAAGCAGGTTGCACAGGATTGTGTCTAGGTGGGTGTCATGGTTTAGCCCCAGCCGGCAGCTGAGTACCACGCAGCCGCTCGTTCACTCCCCCCCATCGGGATGGGCAACTAACAGGTACTTCCCAGTCTTTGAAAAGGTAAGTGACAGTGAGGATGTGCCTGTGAAAGTTGTACTTACAAAAAGAAAACAACAACGTGTTTGCAGTGTAGGTCAGTTCCAAATCCTCAGT